CCCCAAAACCCCAAAACCCCAAAACCCCAAAACCCCAATTGGAGAAATTAGGGTTGAAATGGAGAATATAGGGATGGGAGAGGAATAGGGATTTTGGGGTTAGAGGGATTTTTTGGGTGGGAGAAGAGGTGGTGGAAGTTGGTTGTGGGTTAAGTTGGGTCTTGGGGAAATGGAGGTTGGAGACAATAGGTGATGGCTTGGGGATGGGAGTGTTTGGATTGAATTGTCGGTTCTGGCATGGATGGAAGCTTAAGGTTTTAGAAATAGCAAGTGTAAATTTGGGAGATCGAAGACTTTAGTTGGTATATTTAGCAGGAAAATTTTTTCAATAAGACTCTTGATAATTATTAAGATCGAACTTACATTACTTATTCATAATAATGGTGTAAATTATTTTGGGTTAATAATCTACTTAAATTTTGATATATTTAATAATATTATTTGAGCACTAAATCTCCCAGAAGACCTCAATATAATCTATAAAGTTCAGTGGACCCTCCAAGATCATGTGGAAATATTCATCCATTTTAAATAGCATTTAGCCTACTTATCTTTAATTTACTCATATTATATATAAGGTAACAAGTTATTTATTTCTAAGAAATAAGAAAGATGAAAAGTTCAAATTAATATGTTATTAACAAATATTATTAAATTGATTCTGAATCTCTATTGATCACTCCAAATAGACTTTTCTTTTGTCCTCTGGACACTTTTGGATGAAACACTCCATTCCATTGTGCATGAAGTATTCATAAATCTGAGCGATGTTGGAGTCTTGGTAGATCATCTCCAGCTTCTTGTGGGAGTACCTGCTCAGTAAGTCTTCGAACTTCACGATTGACTGGTTGCTGTAATCAAACAGAGCCTTGGCTTTGCAAGTGTTTTTGCTCATGGCCATCCAGCAGACAAGTTCTCTGAAATGTTTGGTGTCATAATTCCTCTCTTGCGGGATGAGGCCAATACTCTTGGCTTGCACAACCAAGCCTTGTTTGAAGGAAGTATCTTTCCTCTTGAGTCTACACGGCCTGACTCTGTGCTCTATGAATAAGTCGGCTATGAACTTTTTAAATCCTCTGAGAATTCTTTTGTTAACAACGTCTCTTCTCACAGAAAGTTCGGTGAATCCCTGAGGTTTGTCAGACTCACCGAAGATGGAGTCCACCATTTGCGAGTAGTTGACACTGGCTGAGTTCCCTGATTGCTTTTTTTTATTCTTTGATGGTGAGGCTCTCTTTTTATTTCCAGATTTCGATACTGTAATACTTTTGGAACTCAATTTTAAATTTGTGTTCGAAATATTTTTGCTCAGAGATTCAGCATTCTCTTGTGGCTTTCTGGAGAATCCTGACTTCTTTGGTTGCTGAGGCTTTGGGATATTGAAGTCTTCATCCTCAAACAGAGAGGTCTCTTCAGGCAAAATGCTATCATAACACTCATTGAAATATTCAGGGAGAACTTGTTTAGGAGAAGTGCTTTTAAAACTAAGGCCATCTTGACTCTGAACATCATCTCAATGCTGAAAAGACAGAAGCTCTGAGTTAAAATCATCCATTGCTAAGAATGGATCTTGTGATGTAAATTGCCATTTTGAGTTCATTTAGATTTCTATTATTAGATTCTCAGCTGGGGTTTTGGGGTTTTGGGGTTTTGGGGTTTTGGGGTTTTGGGG